ATTTCGTTTAAAGCAAGAAGGTTTTAGGTTGGCAAAAGGCTTCCAGGGGCGTTGGAAAGGATTTTGATTGTCTAAAAATATGATAGGTTTAATGGGCAAGAAAAACTGCATCAGATGAGTTACTGTACAATGGATTTGGTAATGGGCCGATTTGCGGTCTTATCGTCCCCCGTCCTTTTTTAATTTTTTGGATCCCTTTGAACCGTGGTTTACTAATCTCAGGAGTATGGTATTAACACCGCTACGGTCCATTGACTTAGGCTAGTTCCTCTAGATAAGCTTCGATGACTTATGGGCAAGAGGAAGAGAAATCTTTCGAAGTTGCGCAGTAGTGATAGCAAAATAAAAGAGGTGAATGACGTGCCTTCAAAATGTTCTAAAAACGTTTATGCTGCAGTTCCATGATATATATCACATTTCACACCTTTTGTGAAAAGAAACAAATTGGGCCATAGATTATTATCAAAATTGAGATAAATAGGTTTCAATGGTTACACCTTATTCAGTTATAGTTTTTTAATATTTCTTCTATATGATGTAGTGGAAAAATCTTTACACCAGTATGATAGAGCATTGAGTGCTGTATTTAATAATATAAAAATTAAATCTAAACAATGGAGGTCATATAAAATCTTAAAATGTTACATATTCCGATTCCTTACGAAACTCAAACACTTTCTATAATGATATCCCAATATTCTGCAGGCATGGTCTGCCTTCCTTATAAAGCAGAGAAGCAGACAATCAAATAATCCTCTATGTCTAATATTCAGACATGAATATTCTCTAAGTACGGTCTGTCTTCCCTATAAACCAGAAATGCAGACAATCAGGTAACCTTGTATGTTGAATATTCAGATTTGAATAGTCTCTAAGTACGGACTGTCTTCCTTACAAAGCAGAGAATCAGACAATCAGATAATCTTATACGTTGAATATTCAGATTTGAATATTCTTTAAGTCAAAAGGTCCAAAATTTGACTATTACGAAGAAATTACTTTGGACCTCGGAGAAATGTCGGACGAAGAACATAGTGAAGAAGAAGAAGAAGAAGAAGAGAGAAGCGAAATAGAGGCAGGAACTGAAGAGGCCGATCCAGATCGGCAAGATAAAGAAAAAGCTATTGACAAATATAATCTGAAAAATTATTCAGAGGACTTTATGCGTCAGGTTGTTGATTTTCCCGATGAAACAAACAGATTTGGTAAACGTTCCCATACATGGAAAAGTATTCGCCATCGATTTAAAGCAGTTCCAGATCAGAAATATATCTCTAGATTTCGACGGTATTTGGAATACCACGGAACAAAGAGACAGAAGACACAGAACGTGGACGAGCTAGTTTACAAAAACCTAGCCACAGCACGAGAAAAAGGACTTCTGGTTCATGATCTGGACATTCAAAAATGGGCAACAAAAATAGCCAAAGAACTGAAAGTGGACAATTTTCATGCGTCTCGTCATTGGATCGAAAATTTCAAAGCTGGACATAAATTAACTTCTCGAAAACTAACAAATTTCGTTTCGGATCATCAAGTCGAAATGTCATTGAAAAGTCGAAACATGACTTTGTTTTGGAATATAACAAAATTTCGCTACATTTCAGTCCGCCAGAAATTTTCAATACAGATCAAACGGCTGTTGAAAAAGAGTTACACTCTTCTCGAACTATATCATTTTTCGGCGAAAAGAAAACTTTTGGTGCCATTCAATCGAAAAATGCCACTCTTACACTTTGCAACCAACTCTTTCCTTAGACAGACACCTTTTGGACAAGATTTATTTGTGTTTACAAGAAACGAGCGGTAAGTTATACAAAAAGCGGATTGTTCGTCCAACAATGTTTGCTCACTTTCTTTCCTCTACTTTTAGGAAAAACAGGAGAACAAGTGAAAAAGAATTTGTTTGAACTAAAAAATGTTGTCATCACTTGTTCTTCATCGGGAAAAGTGACCATATCTCTCGTTGACTACTGGCTAGATCATTGTTTTTTGCCACTAGTTGATGCAAAATGTTTACTACTTTCTGATAGTTATCCCGGTCGATGTCATGCAAAAACATATGAACCGAAAAATTGTGGTGGAAAGCAAGTTACCGGTCTACAAATACCACAAAATACAACGGATCAGCTCCAACCGCTCGACTGTTATTTCAATCGGCAAATAAAAAAATTTCTGAAAGCATGTTATAATCGCGTGGCTTTGGATGAGCTCGACATACATTTACATCAGCGGAATAACATTATTCGCCTGGTTAGTCTCCTGCATAATCAGTTGAGTGTGGACGTCTTTGTATCAATGATCAAATATTCATGATTTGCAAGTGACTTATTAAAAGAAGACCCATCTCCCTTTCAGAATGTCAATGAAGCTTGCTTCCCAAAATCAAGAAATCATGAAGAGCGTGAAGAGAAGGATTGTGATGAATCAGTTTTTATAAACTGTGCTCGAGGTTCAAACAAACTATGTTTTGAACACTTTTTTGTGAGTTACCATTTTTCATTAAAGCCTAATTTTCATTAAAGCGAGTTTTTTTTCTTAAATTGTTAGTCATATTTCAACCGACTTGTTTATAAAAATAACCGTGAAATGAGAAAAATCATTCAAGGTAATTCATTCAAATTGTCTTTTAATTCATTTTTTTGATCTAGGCATGCCGAAAACCTGTTGTCCACTAAGCTTTGGGCCAAAAACTTCTGGACAGTTGAGGGCCTTCCTTCGTCAGTCGAATGTCGACTACTGTTATTTTTTATAGATCTAATGATCAGTTAGGAAAACCAACTCTCCAAGCTTGAACTTTTCAAGTAAAACTTTCATACGAGACCCATACATTTCTTATCACATTTGATGAAACATTTTCGTTAAGGAACTACTTTTCCAGTACAATTTTTTATTTAAGCAAATGATGATAATTAACAGAGGTCATCGGTGGTATAATGACTAAATGTAGAGCAATTGTCAAGGCTGAATCCTTCAATTATTTTAATTAACTTCCGCATTAACTAAATTACTGATAAAAACATACTCTATTCCACTTTATATGATGAAAAATAAGAAATTTCTTCAGTTAATACAGATATGCCGGTGAAAAACGTTGTCGTTTAAAAGTTACTGTGAAGATGAATTCAACGTTCAATAACACAGCAGCAGTCAATACAGCCTACTATCCTTTTACTTTTCTTCATAATATAAAAAATCCAGTATTAGCCACAGCCACACAAGTCTGTTTGTACGGGTGGCTTCTATCATTTCTCTTTGGTTTTCTGGGAAACTTCAACAGCCTTTTAACATTCTCACGGAAAACTCTACGACAAATATCAACCGGATGTTTATTCATTCGCTTGGCTGCTTCTGATACAATGTACCTGTTTATTGTGTCTTTGAATTTGTTGAAAGTGGCCTGGAAATATCGATTTATGCTCACGTAACACCAACAACCTATAATCATTTGTGTCGTTTTCGAGAGTTTCTTCAATCCTGTTCAACAATATACTCAGCATGGATATTGGTGATTAGTTTAGACAGATGAATACAGACACGATTCCCATATAAATCATCGTCGATATGTACACCGAAAGCAGCATGGATGCCATGTGCAGTGTTACTTATTATTGCAATGCTTTTTAATGCGCGTTTGCTAACTCCAGCATTTGGAGCATTAATACCAGATTTGAGACAGGAGAAGCCTAATTTATTGCTATCTAAGTTGTTAAGTTTTAGTGATTTTGCATTAAACTTGAATCAAACATACACAATATAAAAACACAAGTAAACTTTATAATTTCACTTGGAATGTTTGCATGTTGTAATGTATGTATGTTTTCACATTGTGTATGTTTGATTCAAGTAGAAAAAAAATTTCTTTTCATTAAAATCATTTTTATTGAGGTAGTAATATATTTGTTATTTTATTCCCGTTCTTTTATTTGACAAGAAGACAAAAGTCTGCGTTTCTTGATCACATTCTTTCATGTTTGGCCAGATAACTGAATAATTGTCGCTTATACATGAGTAAACAAATTTTGTTTTCAAATCTCAGATAAAAGCTTTGAGTTTTTCTCACAATAGAAGAAACTTATTGTTTGAAAGACACCCGATGTAATGTAGTCCTCATGACGGCGATTCCACTTGATTGGTCTTCTTTTTGTTGTTCATTTTTCGTTAAATAAATAGTTTAAATCATATACTCGATTTTAATAAAATAAAAGGCGTAGTACTGCACAGTACAAAGAAATTTTAAATAAACATTAGGTACGTTATCGCAAAATCAATTATGTTGTCAGCAGAATTAAATAAAGCTGAACCATCACAGTTGCTGGCCGCCGTCGATTCCATGCGCGAAATACTGCATAAACAAAAAATAAATCTTTCTTCAATAGTTGTCGTTGGGGACCAATCAGTCGTAAGTATTGCGCTCAACACCTTTGTACAACCAAAAAAGTAAAGATTGTTTTAGGGTAAATCATCGGTCTTAGAGGCGTTATCTGGTATTCAGTTACCACGTGCAGATTACATTTGTACTCGTTGCCCGTTAGAACTTCGTTTGAAACGATTGAATGATTTGAAGCAAAAAGAATATGCAGCAATACGTAGTGTAAATGGGCAGGATAAAGAGTTAAAAAGTTTGGATGATATATCAAATGAAGTCATTCAAATAACAAATGTGGTTGCTGGTAAACAGCAAAATATCAGTCCAAAACCGATTATTCTTACCGTTTATAAACACAATAGTTTAGATTTAACGTTAATTGATCTCCCTCGTAAACAAACTAATAATTCATTTATTGAGAAAGAGTGATACAGTTGAAATATGTATAGGCATCATCAGGGTTCCCGTTGGTAGTCAACCTCCCGATATTGAGAATCAGTTGATCACATTAATTAGCCATTATATCAGTCCGAGTACCAGAGAGCCATTATTCTTCATGTTATTCAAGCAGCAAATGATTTTTCAACAGCAGCAACAATCAAGCTAGCACAAAAATTCGATCCGAATGGTGACCGACAGTTGATTGCGTGCAGTAAAATCAATAAGTACGATA